CTTCTGCCAGCAATGCCCTCCCTGCCCCTACTCTCTGAACAAAGGACACCTTCCTTTAAGACACACCCCAAATCCTGGATCTTCCCCCGGACCCTTCTCTGAACCTCTGAGGCAAACAATGGCCCCCTTGCTGTTTCTAGAAGGCCAAGAACAGTCTGGCCTCGGGGCCTTTGTCCTTGTGTCCCCTCTGCCCGGAACTTTTTTCTTCCAGACTCCAGTGAGCATTCTCACTCACCACCTTTAGTTCTTCCCTCAACGATTACCAAGTGGCCCCAAGATCCCCATGCTCTGGGGTTCACACCCCGCTGTGATCCCCTCCCCTTGAAGGTGGGCCAAACCGCTGGAACATGGCAAAGGTGATGGGGATGTCAGACCAAGGTGATGTCACGTGACATACGACTCTGTCTTGTTAGCTGTCCCTCCCTCATTTCTTTGTCTCCCCTGGCGGGCTCTGAAGAAGAAAGCTGCCATAAATTCGCCCCTAGCAAGGACGCCTGCTGAGTACTCTGAGAGACAGGCTGTGTGAGTTCAAAGTCCTCTGTTTGCACTTGAACAGCCCCCGAGTGGGGAAACAGGTCCTTCCCCAGTTGAGCCTCCAGATGAGACAGCAGCCCTGGCTGATGCCTTGATTTCAGCCTAAGCAGAGGACCAACCTAAGCTACGCCTAGACTTCTGACCCACAGAAACTCTGAGATAAAGCACGTATGATGCTTTCAGTTGCTAAGTTTCTAGTAATTTGTTACACAGCACAGATTACTGACACAAGGCCCTTCCTGAGGACCCCATTTAGAACTGCACCCCTCCCCATGCTTGGCCCCTTCTTTGCTCTGTCTTGCTCCTGAAGCCTTGTCACCCCCGCATTTTACTATATATTTTACTCAGTTATCTGGTTGATTGTCTATTGCCCAATTAGAATCTAATGGGAAGGCAGACGTTTTTGTCTGTCTTGTTCACTTCTCTATCTGTAGTACTTTTACACTTAGAGAACACAGTAGGTGCTCAGTAAGTGTTAGTTAAGTGAGTTTTGTTATTTACCGCTGCCATGTGTCTGTCACTTCTCCCGTGTCCTGTTTCTACATGGGGTGCTCCCGACATGGTGGTTAAGTGACTTTCAGGCTATGCCCGGCACAGGGCCTGCAATGGTTGGATGGATCATGGCCGCATGGACACATTCTCCATCAAGGTGGCACAGTGCCCTCCCTGCCCCTGTCTAGTTCCCTGGGGTTGGGGGGCAGGGCCTGGGTCTGAGGGTCTCGGATGTCTTTCACTTCCTCTCTCTCCCTAGCCCAGCACCTTGTGAACACTGGACAGGTAGTCAGGTGTGCTGGTTTCAGGGGAACCACTGACTGAAACCGCCCGTCCTGGCCAGGCAGGTAGTAACCACTTGCATGAGTTATCTTACAGCAGGAGGTCCTGGTAAGGAACGCGGAACTGACAAGCTACCACCAATCAGAAGAATTTGGGAAAGGTCAAAAGGAGAGAGGAGACGCCAGTCTATATGTCCTACCAACCTCCCAGAATCCTTCTCGCTAGAATCTATCTTGGTTGAGCGATGTGCGGGCTACCAGGAAGGACCCTGAGTCAGAATGATTGGCCAGAGACAACCCGGAAACTAACCCCATTATTGTAAAACCCCAGACTGTGAGCCACGTGGCAGAACAGTTCTCCTGGGGTCCCTGACTCTCCTGCTCTCCCCCCGGGCTCCCCTTCCCAATAAATTCTCTTGCTTTGTCAGCACCTGTGTCTCCTCGGACAATTCATTTCTGAGTGTTAGACAAGAGCCCACTCTTGGGTTCTGGAAGGGGTCCCCATTCCTGCGACACTGGGGTGGTCATGGGGGTGAGGCTGGGGAAGGTGGGTGAAGCTGCCTGGTGGAGGGGCTTGAAGCTAGCAAGAGGCGTGACCACTTAATCAGGCAGGAGGAGGGAGCTGGAAAAGTCCGTTGGGTGAGGGGGCGCCAGGGTGAATGTTGGCAACTAGCAGCTGGATTGACCTGAGGTCGTCCACGAGTCCTGCTGCCCCCAGGCTGGGTGGGATGGACAGGACCGCTTTTCCCACCCAGCATCCACACCTTGCTTGGTGGGAATAGTTTCCAGTTCTGGAGGAACTACCTGGCCCCATTCAGATTCCACCACCTGATGTACTCAGCCTGGTCACACAAGGTTTTCTATTACCCTGGCTACAGTGACTGGCTCGGGGATGGACACGTGACCAGTCAGGGCAGTGAGAGTCAGCCTCAGGGCTTCCGTTCAAACCACTTTTAGGCCATTTCCCAAGCTGAATGGCCTAGAAGTCTGGGGTTGTGGTGACCCTGCCACCATGAGAGAAAAGCTGGCCTGAGAATGAAGCCAATTCAGAGGATGCAGGACTGAGAGATGGAAAATGAGAGCTTCCTGTTGTCATTGTGTGACTGCTGGATCCCGCCATACCTGAAGCCAGCACTAACCTTGGACTTTCCAGTTACTTTAGTGACTGCATTCCTCATATCTTATTTTATTTGCCTTGTTCATTTTGAGAGTCATTTCCGTTCACAACTCAAGGAGTCCTGGCTGTCAGCCCCAAGTCTGACATTAGCACTCTTTCTCTGTGGTTTTGGGTCCTAAGAACCAGATCACAGACTCTGAGGCTGACCAATACAATAAGAGGTGCCGGATTATAGTTCTGTCCACCTTCGTTTTTCGAAAGCAAATGATCCCAGTGACTTTAATGGTCATATATATTCTTACCCAAAAAGGAAAAACATTTACAAATATCAAAGTCCCAGTTTTGAGACGAATTCCAGCTCCTTCCCCACTGTGCCATGAAACCTCAGGCAACTTAACCTGTGCCTCTGTTTCCTTGCGTTTAAAACAGGGACAATACTAGCAACTACCTTATAGGGTTGTTGTCATGCGTAAGTGGATTACCTGGATGTAAGTGCTTAGACCAAAGCCTAAAGAATAAACACCGTTATCAGCACAGCTATCATTATAATAGCTATTATTATAGGCGGGGACCCTGAAATCCGGACAGGCAGGGATTTGATGAGGTTGGCAGAGGAACAGTGATGAGGCTGGGCTAGAGCTCACACCGTCTGCTTTCTGGAATTTCCACCAAACATCCCAGGCGGTGGGAACATCTCGGTCCTAAGACGGCGCCACCAACGCCCTTTCAGGAGGAATTCTGAAGCAAGCCGAGTCAGTGCCTGTGTGTGTTCTCGGCTCAGATGGAAGTCAGACCTGATGAGCACCTGAACGGTGATTTATCTGCATTTCAAAACACGTTCGAGTTGGTCTCCATAACGTCTGGGCCGATCCGAGGACGCTGCTGCTATGATTCCTGGCCTTTCTACCTCTCCCTGCCCCAGACACGGCATTTTTGCTGCCAGAACATGTCATTTCAAAGGTTAACCCAAGGACAATGCTGGCCAAGGGCCCACGTGGCCCTCGAGGAAGGATGGGGGAGGCTGCTTCCCTTAGCGCTGGGGCCAAGCTGGCCCAGCTGATCTCAGTGGATGACGCCGCCCCGGGCCGAGATGGCCGGGCTCCTCCCTGACAACCTCCAGACCCAAAGACCGCTCAGGCCAGACAGAAATCAAGGTGGCACCCCCATGCATTGGCGGTGACACATACACAGTCCAGGTCCCCGATTCCCTGGCACAGTGCCCACCACGGACAGTCTGTTTTCATAGGTGCTAACAGCTCCCGGCCTCTCCTTCCCCAGTAGAGGGGTATGCAGTCCTCCCCGGGTGGCATCACCACCGTTTCGCTCGGCACCGAGGTCCGCCTGCCTGAATCGTGTGCCGCCCCGGGGCGTGGCTTGGGGCTGCCCGCTGAGCTGCCTGCTGCTTGCCCATCCGGGTACCAGCGGAGCCTGGAGGCCTCCCTGGGACTTTGGGGCGCTGGGGAGGGGTGGGTGATGCACTTACAGCGAGCCGGCCTCCACGTTGGGGCCCCTAACGTAGAACGGGACCCTGATGTCGAACTCATAGGGCATGGACTTCCCTTTCACCAGGCCGAACTGGCCGATGTGGTAGCCGTGGTCAGCGGTGTACACGACATACGTGTTGTCCAGCTCACCTGTCTCCACCAGCATGTTGTAAATCTGAAACGCAGACGGGGTGGTGAGGACATGCAGAGGGAAGGCGGGCAGTGCGCCCGGCCCACTGTCCCAAAACACGATGCTGTGCTGGGGTCTCAGGCCCCTGTCCCTCCCGCTTCGGGTCTTCGCTCAACTGTCACCTCTCGGCGGGGCCCCTGGGGCTGACCCATGCATCACTGTAGCCTCCCCACCTCCTGTCCCGCTTTACTTGTCTTCCCAGCACTTCTCACCTCCCTCTCTTTTACTTATTCGTGGACTGTGTCCCTGCATTAGAACGTGCGCCCCATCGGGGCAGGGACCTCTGTCATTTTGTTCCCTGCTGTGTCCCATGTGTGCTGGTACTCGACAAATGCTGTTGGGTGAATGAGTGAATGAGTGAATGAATGAATGGCCTGGGGCAGGAGTCTGTGATCTACAACAGTGCTGCCCAACAGAACTTTCTGCAATGCTGGCAATGTTGACACCTACGGCACCAGCCACACTTGGTTATTCAGCACTTCAAACGTGGCCAGTGCACCGGAGAAACTAAATTTGAAATTTCGTTGTATTTTACTGGTTTTAAATAGGTCACGGATAAAATTTAAGAAATATATCCATGCAATGGAGTATTATTTAGCAATAATACTAATAAAAAATGAAGCACTGAACATGCTCCCACCTGGATGAACCTTGAAATCATCATACTGAGTGAAAGAAGCCAGATCCAAAAAACCACATATTGTAGGACTCCTCTTACATGAAATGTCCAGAATCCACAGAGACACAAAGTAGATGAGCAGTTGGCTAAGGCGAAGGGGTGAGGGGAGTTTGGGGTAATGGCTAAGGGCTGCGGGGTTTCTCTCTGGGGTGATGGAACTTCTAAAATCGACCGTGGTGATGACCGTACAACCCTGCAAACATATGAAAACCACTGAAACATACACTTGAATCGGGTGAGCTAGGTGGTATGTGAATCATATCCCCATAAAGCTGTTAAAAAATGTACGCAGCTGCAGGTGGCTACTATAGTGAACAGATCAGAGCTGGAATACAAGTTCCCTGAGGGCAGGGGTTTCGTCTGGATTGCTCAGAGCTGTTTCCCTGGCCTGGAACAGGTGCCTTTTCCTTCTGCCTCTGTTTCCATTCCTCTCCAGATGATGATGCTTGGAGGGGTGTGGGGGGAAGGGCAGGGAGGCTGCAAGCCTGGCGTGGCTGGGATGCTCAGGAGGAGGGCAGCCTACCGTCTCCATGGAGTCATCCACGGACAGGAGGGTCTGCAGGCGCTTGCGCTGTAGCATGTTGGTGAACTGCATGTGGATGGGCTTCATGGGCCCCGTGTAGCGCATGATCCAGTGCTTGTCGGGGTTGGGTGCATAGTTGTAGCTCGGGGTGCTGGCGGGCAGACAGGCACAGAGGTCAGGTCAGGCCGGGGGTGGGGGGTGCCTGGGCCCCGCCCCCAGGTCCCCCCACGCCTCAGGGGAGCAGCCTCCCTGCGCTGGGGCTGCAGCTCAGGGTGAAACCGCCCCCATCTGGACGCCAGCGCGTCGGGGGCTCTGCCCCACGTTAGGTCAGCATCTCTCCACATGCGGGGCATGCACGTGGGAAGACTGGGGGGCACAGCCGTAGATAACCTGGAGCCCCAAAGGGAGAACGTCCCTCCCATTTAAGCCCGGTCAGCACGCCCATCACATGAAGGCCAAAGTCTCAGTCTGTGCTGGGCTCTCCTCAGCACCTCTCTAGAATTTGCTCGCTTCCCTTTTGAAAGAAGGAGAGGGCCTCCTGTGGGCACAGCACCCAACTCTAATTTAATAGCTCTGCATTTACTTTTCAGTTACCTTGGGTAGACGGCAAGTGACAGTTATCGTGGTTAATGAAGGCGTGACTACCGAATTTCCTTTTGCAATAGATTTTGGTTTAAAAAAAGGAAACTGGTTAAAAATTAGGTTCATAATAGGCAAAACTGTGAGGATGGTGCCTGAATGTGTCCATTTGGGACACGCCACGTTCTCTGACTTAGCTGTCACAGCTGTTCTTCCCGCGTGGCTTAATTTCCCATTTACAAGAGAGGAAACGGGGTCAGAGGAGTTCCGAGACCTGCCCATGGTCTCACTGAGTGGATGGTGGAGCCACTGGCTCCGTCAGGACTTCTGCTGTGGGTTCAGCTGTGACGCCTAATGATAAACGAACAAATACATGGTAATCTTTGACCAGCCCCGAATGGGCACCGACCACGCGCTGGCCACACCCGGAAGGGTTTGCCTACATCATCTCATTTAATACTCAGAGCAGTCCCAGGAGCTGGTGCTTTCCTTCTCTTGTGTGAGACATGGGGACACGGAGGCTCAGTGAGGGGACAGACTTGCCAAAGGCAGAGCTGGGGTTTGAGCTCCAGGAGTGGGAAACCCCACAAGGCATGGGTGTCCCTCGCACTGGGTCTGGTGATCCTTGAGGGTCAGGCTCCCCTCAGGTCTTACCCACCCCCTCCCCAGGCAAAGCTGCAAAGAGAGGGAGTTTCCACTGCTTGAAGACAAAAAGCTTTTTGAGATGGCTCTTCAGGGGGCAAGGGCTGCGGGGCGTGGGGGAGGGTAGAAGGGCCCCAGACTCCCTTCCTTCGTCAGGACCTCAGCCCCTCCCTCCCCGGGGTAGAAGGAAGGACACTGCAGCTTGTGGTGCAGCCTGATAGTTATGGAGACTGTTGCTATGTAGAGGCGGGGTGAGTCATAAGATTCCTCCTGGACTTTGCTTGAGTTTCTGGCTGGTCTCCTGCCGCTAAATCCAAGCCGGGCCTGCGGCCTCCTTTGATTATGAGAAGCGCCGCTCTCTCCTGTGGGCCGGCTTGGGGCCTGACCCTCGTGTAGAACATCCCAGGAGCAGGGCCACCCCCCCTCACCACCCTCCCCCACCGAGGAGCTGGAGGGGTGCTGCTGGGCCAGGGGCTGCACAAAGAGATGCCCTTGGGGCTGTTGGGGGTTTTGCGAAAATTGCTCCCATGGCCCCAGGGGCCCGATTCAGGATGTAATTTTGAGCAATCATCCCTGAATCTCTTAGATTCTCTTGGGCTGGTGTCTGCCCTTGAGAACAGCGAGGGGTGAGTCTGTCAAGAGTCTCATTTCCGAGGCCTTTTCTCTGGAGACGTCTTTCGAGCAGGATCTGGAGGTCAGCAGGCTGTGGAGCCTGGGGTCCTGCTTGGGGCCGAGGCCGGCTTTCTGGGCCCCCGCTTGGGGCCAGGCTCCCCCTGCTACCCCGGGAATGGTGTCACATTTTCACATGAACCCAGATGCCTGCTGA